TGTATGGACTCCAACTCATGCTGGCTGGGGAATTCTGGGAGTTGAAGTCCACTCATCTTAAAGTGGCCAAGTTTGAATGACACTGGTGTAAGAGCAGTGTTTCTCAACCTCATCAACTTTAAGATGTATGGACTCCAACTCATGCTGGCTGGGGAATTCTGGGAACTGAAGTCTATACATCATAAAGTTGCTAAAGTTGAGAAACACTGGTTTAGAGATTAGCATGTTATGGGAACAATGAAACTTGGCGTAATTAAGAAAACCAGGATTAACAATTGGTTGCCATGCTGTGTGGTCACAGTAATTATCAGGAGATATTCTGCCACCACCTAACTTCCAGACAGGTGCCTCAGCTGGCATTCTTCTCCTAACTTCAGTGCAGGGGAGAGATAGGCTCCCACATTCTGTGCTGCTTTTCTGGCAAATTAAAAGGGCAAAAGGAAAAGAAATGAAATTAATTCTATAGTCCCTCCCCCTTACCCTGTGATAATGAGGTACAGAGCTATGGAAATAAGGCTGCCTTCCCTTCCCTTTGGGAGACAAACTCATCTCACGAGAGTTAAATCCATCTGGGGGGAGGCAAAAGCTCAGCAGGAGCTTCAGTGCAGTCACCAGAATCTAGGCACCTTTGCAAAGATTATCTGTGATTTTGACTGACTACGTGCCATCAAATCATTTTTGACTCCTACCTCACTGCCGTGGGGTGCTAGACTAAGACCAAAGCATTCCCCATGGAGTACAAGCGGGTAGTGCCACGCAGCTCTACAGCTAAAGGTACCGACAATATGTCCCTTCTAGTTCTACCTCCTTCATATCATTCACAGGGATGCTAGCATGGCATCCCCACCACCTACCACTGACCTGCTATGGCAGCGTCTAGGGCAGCTGACTGCAATATGCCATCCGGCTGGTGCTGTGACCTCCATCCCATCTCCATCCCAAGTTCTGACCATGTGCCCCTGTGATGGTTTGGGGGGATGGATGCCTTTCCACACTGCTGGACCACTGCCCATGTGCATGTGCCTGAATGTGGGCTTGGGCCATATGGCTGCACTCATGGTACTCCCCATGGCTTGTAGCAGGATGGAGAACTCCTTCTCTCTCAGACCCAAGGGACTCATTTGGTTAGGTGCATGATCAGTTGTGGTTTTCCTGTGCAGGCAGCCAGAACAACACTGTACCTGGGTCCTTCTCCTGCCCTTTGGCCTCCAGTGGAAGACCAGGAGGAAGGAGACCTCAGCATGCCACAGCACCCAAGGTACTCCCAAATTCCGTACTAGGAATACACACGCTGCATATGAGATTGTTATTTGCACCTGCTGACCCTGTAGGCAGGAACTGCTTCTGCAGTGGTGGGTATGAGAGGGCGAGCTCTGCACTCTCTGCCCTCTCCTTGTCTTGCCTCTCATCCAACCTGGGCAGGGATGTCCTTGCTTTAGAGTGGAGACAAAGAACTCCTCTCCCAGCCCCTTGCCCAGAAGCCAAACAGAGAACATAAAAGAAGCAAAGGAAAGGAGGCCTGTAAAGGCCTGAATGGTGTGGGTCTGTGTTGCACCACTGCTAATGGAGAAAGGGAAAGAGGGAACTAGTGTAGGCAGTGCACTGTGTGAGAGCTTCTCCCATGATCCCACATAAGCTGGGAGAAACACATTTTGATGTGTTTGCATTTGCTCCAGACATGCTTCCTGGTCTGGGGAAACTTTAATCTCAGCTCCCAAGTCACCCTCTGGTAGAGGGCAGTCACTGGCATCAGGGCACTGCACATAAACCATGTTCTCTCTGGCCAGGAGAAGATTCAACAAAGTCCCTGTTTCTTGCTGCCTTCCACAAATGCTGACCATTTTGTAGCAGGACAGCCAAGCTGGTTCTGAAATCCACAAGGAAGTCCCTGGTCACTAGAACCACACATGTCCCACACATGCATGCCCCTATACCAGTTTGGGTGGGAGGGGTGCAGAGGACGGGGGATCCACCAATCAAGATTTGCTCTAACTGCAATCTAAGCCAAATACCCAGCCAGCATTACTGCCTTACTGGGGGAGTCAAAGAGATATAATTCCGTCTCCTGGCTTACTTTCAAGCCGGGTGCAGCAGAGAAGACACACACCTTAGGTGGCAGTGCAGAATTGCCCTCCAACTCTCACAATCTCTTACCTAGCCATTTCATAGTGGGGCTACAAAAGCTAGCAGAATATTAGTTAGCAGCCCAAAGAGTTCTTTACTTCCATCTAGCGGTCACCCAGATCTTTGCATACCAGATATGTAGCCTAAATTTGCCTAGCACCAGGCTGCTGTTGGTGCTAAATTGAAGTTCAAACCATTCGGAGGGCACCAGATTACTTATCCCTGGGTTTAAGAAAACAAAACAATGGCTAAACCATAAAGGCCACCCAGAAACCCATCTCCTCCTCCCCATCCCACATGAACTATCCAGGAAGCAGGTAGTTTCATCAATTCTCCCGAAGTTACCGAAGCGCACGCGCTCCTCCCCAACGAGTCAATCACTCAGCGCGTGTCCAGAGGGTGGCCTCTGTTTGTTGTTGTCGCCCTTGTCATCATACAATCGATCAGCAGGGCTCGGGGAAGAGGGAGCAAACTTTACCCTATTGAGCAAAGGAAAAGTTCCAGGGAAGAAGAGAGTTCGCGCACCCCACCCCTGTCAGACGCCAGATCAAGTTTCAATAGCCTTCGCTCCTCTATATAAAGCCAGCCCGGGAATCAGGCGTGGGAAGTTGAGGGTGTGCTTGTGAGCGGTTCGTTGGCAAACTCGCGCAGCCTGCGTCCCTGCTAGATTTCTGCGACCGCCTGCAGCTGAGCCTTATTGTTCTGCCGGGAGGTACGACGGGTTGATAGGATCCTGCTCTTGTTGCCCGAAAAAGGCGAGGTGTTCGGGGACGTCGCTGTGCGAGGCGGTAACAGGTAATCAGAACTCTGCTTATGCTTTGCTTCCTGTTCCTGTTTTTTTCCTGGGATGCTGTGAATGCAAATCCACATTTTCAATTAGGAGAAATTCTTTCCTGAAGTTTTCTTGCGAGGCGATTTAAGCCAAAGACTTCATATGCTGCTTTTCCGTTGGAAAGCGATGCGGATGTTCGCAAGTTGTTCTGCAGAGATTTCACGGAGACTGAATGAGCGTTGCGTGTTGGGACTAGTTAATCCAAAACAGGGCTCTTGATGTATTGTGCTTTGAAGGGAAAGCTATAAAAGCAGCTTGGCCTTTCGTTTGTTAAGGCTTTTGTGGGACAAAAGTATTGCTTTAGAATTAGTATTTGGTGGAATCTTTAAGCACGTATCCTGAGTATGGGAGTGGGAATGGTCTCTCAGCAAAGAAATCACTGCTTGTTCAAAGAGGTAATCTGTTAGCAGCATATGGAATATACTTTGTATTCTGGAAGTATTGTGTCAGCCTGCCCTTTTGAGCATCTTCAGCTACTGGGGAAAGAGATGAAAGTTGGAGGACACTTTCAGTCAGAACAGACAGGACTAACTGAGACAGACAAATCCTCTAAATCAGTGTTTCTCAGCCTCGGCAACTTTAAGATGTGTGGACTTTAAGTCCCAGAATTCCCCAGCCAGCCATGCTGGCTGGGGAATTCTGGGAGTTAAAGTCCACACATCTTAAAGTTGCCGAGGCTGAGAAACACTGCTCTAAACTCTTCATGATGGCTGTTGTGGGACTCCAAGGAATTCTTCCAGTTACAAGTGTGTTTATTTACTGCACAAGACAAATTGAGGAGGACAGCTAGCAGGGTTGGTGGCAAGGGATTGTGGGAATTGTAGTCAAAAATAGCCGGAGGCATCAAGTTGCTGTCCCCATCTTAAGTTTTTACAGAAGTGGAAAAAATAGGGTGGGGTTATTTTCATGTAACATAAATAAATCTCAAGACTTTGGGCACTGGTGAAAAAGCTGGGGTATAAATCAGATACGTTCACATATGCTGTATGTTAAGTATATTCTTCCTAGAAAACTTATAGGGTATAAGATCAGTTTTGTTATGCAAATGTGTAATATAATTTCCTATCCATGAGCTGTGGTGTTCTAGAAAACTAACAGAGTTTCCCCCTTTTCTTTCATCCTGCAGGGTGCCCTGGGAGTTTGTTACTCTGCAATAATATAACAATGGCATCTGTTCCTTCAGTTGGCTGCCTTTTGGCCAAGAACCAGTACTACAGAAGTAAGTTTTTCCCCTAAACTTGTGGATGTTTCCCTGTGTCTTGAAGGAGATTGACATGATCTTAAAACCTATTTGCTTCTGTGCTGAAGAGAGTAGCCTCTATGGGCTTATATTGCAACAGAGTTTGATACTTAACCTTCCTAGCTAGCCTGGCTCCAGCCAGGAACTTCTTCAGTCTCCTTCTGGATTCAATTTGTGAATAATTTAATTTTCTACTGATTGCAATCTATCTAGGTCTTTGATGTGTGATCTAGTCTTGCCATACAAATGATACATTTGTGCACTTAAACATAATGAAAGCCAGTGACTCGCAGCACTATTAATTGATAAGTTACTAACGCTATATGTTCATGAATAAAAATAAACCAGCAGCTCCCTGTTGGCCATGAAGACCAATATTGCAAACTTCAGAATGGAATATGATCAGTTTGTAATGCTAATTCTAGCTACTGAGTGTGTTATTGACAGTCTCTCAATCCTGATGTTGGTTAGGTCATATGGCCTTTATTTCTTGAGTTATGCAAACTTGAACAAAGCAGAAGTTGGGTTGGCATTCTGTTTCTTGAAGAAATTTGAAATAACTTTTTTCCTTTCATTCTTATTTGACAATTATGTTGATCCAGCCCTTTATATATAAAATGGCCATCTCTTTTCAGAGGGAATTATAATTTGAATGGCAAGATGGGCATAGTATACAGGTTATCTGATCATCTTCTATATTATCAAGGGTGCTTCAGGTTTTATACAGAAATATATAAAATAGTTGGGCTTCTTTAAGGACAGCTTGGATCCTAAATACTAGTCTATTTTTTAATAATACAAAATGCTCCCTGCTTTCTGAAATAGAACATAATAATTCTGTTTTCACACACAGCACGACTGAATTCTGATTCCAGTGTTTCTTCAAACAGTTCATCTTGCTATTCTGACCCCGTGCCACTCTCAGACCAGGAAAAAAATCACCATGGTATTGTACCTTTATTAAAGTTTCTAGCTATTGTCCAGAAAAAGCATGAAAAGCAATTCCACCATTCTCTATTGTGCATTTAATCCCTAAATGTTTTCAGTGAAATTTAAGCCTGATCTTTCTCTAATATTGCTGCTTCATTAAGAGTAATAGCCTTCTTTTTGCTTTGAAGCTTTATTATGTAGCTTTATTATACAGTGGACATTGTATCACCCATTTATAGGTCTACCTGAAATATTTGAAAAGTGCTGGTGGATAAAAAGCTTTTTTCACTGTGAGCCAACGCCTCAGAATGTAGGCAGAAAAACCTTATCAGCGAGTAGGTAAGAACTGCTTCTCTCCTGGGATACACTATTTATTTGAATTAATATTCTTTAGGATTTAGTCTAAGGCTAATGTGTCAATTTGACGTTCATTCTGATGCTAATTTTAGCTGTAGTTTATACAGAATGGTTGAATCCAGAGTAGAGCTTAAAACAGATCTGCTTATACTGGACAAAGGCAGACGTGATTATTCCTTCTGCCTTGTCTCCTAAACAGCTGCATTAGTTTCTCCTGAAAGCTTGGCAGTAATTCTTTACACTAATCTTGGCTATAAATTATAATTTCTGTCTTGACAGTGCTAACAGCTGATTGGGATATCAAGTTGAAAGTTCCTGCCAGGAACACAGTCATTTCTTGAAATGCATTCACTTATGTGAAGAAAACGAACTGCTTGAGAATTCAGTTGTAGAAGTACAGATTACCAAGGATTTAATCAGACCTTATTCATCAAGCAACCATCATTTCAGTGTCTGCTGCAAGGATTCTTGATAACGAACAGGTGTTCTACATTTCATAATAATTTTTGCACTTCACAAGAGAAAATGCAAATGAAAAGTCTAGCTGATATGGTATGTCTGATAATTGTTTGGGATATCTTTTGCTAAATTGATAAGCTGTAGATTGCTTGGGTCAAAATCGTTTAAGGTTACCATGTCTTCGGTACAATGATGCCTTTCTAATTAGCAAAGTAAACCACCTTTTCCCACAGAATTTAAGTTTTGAAATGTTAACTATGATAACCTACTTTGTGAATAATTTACTTAAGAGAAATTTGTATTTGGCATTTATTTGTCAACAGCTAGAAGAAAACTGGTTAAGGCACTATTTATGGAAGACTTCCTTAAAAAACAAAAATGGAAAGTACTCAGTACTAAACTCCTTACATGGAACTAATTCCACTATTTGCACTGGAGTTTCCTTCCACAGTTCTGTTACTGTCATGTGAAATGCTTTGACATTAAATAGTGTACAATTTATACCACTTCTTGAGATTGGAGAGCTTTGCCATCATTTTATTTTTCTGATTACTCATACACGAAGTTCTGTAGTATCAAGTAGTACAAGTAGTCCTCAACTTACAACCATTTGTTTAGCGACCATTCGAAGTTACAACGGTGTTAAAAAAGTGACTTACAACCAGTCCTTGTACTTATGACTGTTGCAGCATCCCCACAATTATGTAATCAAAATTTGGATGTTTGGTAATTGGCATGTATTTACGACAGTTGCGGCATCCCAGGGTCACATGATTACCATTTGCAACCTTCCCAGCAGGCTTCCAATAGGCAAAATCAATGGTGAACCACATGATTCACTTAATGACTGTGGTGATTTTCTTATCAAACCTTGCAAAAAATGTCATATCAGGTGTGGTCATGTAATGCCTCACTTAACAACTGCATTGCTTAACAACAAATTTTCTGGTCCATATTGTGGTTGTAAGTCGACTACCTGTAACATCAAGTTTTACATGCTTGCTTTTTCACTGTGCTGCTTACCTGGATGCATAATGCTGTTTAAAAAAAAGCACACACACACACTTCTAGTGGGAAAAGATTAATGTAGCACAGATAAAGATAAACAAGCAATAAGCCAATTCTTAAAGTCTGCTTCCATTTGGATAGTCATCTTTTTGCCGTCTGTTCAACTTCTGTACATAGAAGCTTATTTATAATATTGGCCAAGTGATGTGTTAATGTATATAACTTTTTTATGAAGTTTTGTATTAATAAAAATTAATAAAAATGTCTTCTGGTTATTTCTTTTGAACAAGATTCACACTGAATGTCTGTAGAACCCTGGTGGCAGAGAATTGAAGCTGTAAGCAATTTTGTATACACAGATCTAGTAAATGCTTTTTCTTTGTCCTGATAGTTCTGTATATAGTGTCCAATGACAGATGAAATATTTACTTGAGAAATAATAGATTACTGACAATATGCATTTATGGCCAGTGTACCTTTACCAGCCTTAAGCATGGGTTTGCAATTACTTATTGCTCTTCTGTGGAACTGGATCTTCAGCTTAGCAAAGGCACCCTGCATACTAAGAAGAAAAAACTTTGCATTATTTGGATTGACTGGGACATTTCAGATGTTTTTCTAGTTGACAAATTAGAATGACAGTACAAACATAAATGATAGGAAGTTATGCTGTTTTTAAGCCATATGATTCTTCATAAAAATGAGTCTATTATAACATAAAATATGCATCCTTTATTTATTTATTTTATTTATTTATTAAATTTTTCAACCACCCATCTCAACAAACATT